CTTGCCTTATATATGTAGCCGCGTTAAATTTTGGGACTAGCTATCCTACTTTTTGAGGTGCCTCCAACGTAGCGAGGAGATTAGTCACTACTATGGATACTCCAGGGATGAACAAAAAAAAATTGTTAAATAATTTTTTTTTACTGTATAAATAAAATTTACAAATTGTTAAAAGTTTTGAAAATAATTTGATATTTTATTTCATTAATTCAAATTAACAGATAATAAAAAATTATTTTTTATGTTAATTTAAATTAATATAATTAAATATTAAATGATTTTGAAATTATTTAAAATTTATAACTTAATTTATATCAAAAACTTTTAATTTAAATGTTAGATTTTTTAAACTTGATATATACAATTAAATGGATATTGGGCAGAAATTAACTGAAAGACTGACCGGTCAAAGTTATACAGCCTATGAATATTAAAACTTAATTTATAAATATATAATAAATAAATATTTATAATTTTATAAATTATATTATCATTATAAATTATAAAAATAATATTTTAAAATATAAAAATTATTATTTAAACTTTTAAATATATAGTAAATAATTTAAATTGTATCATAATATTAATTTTAAATAAATGTAACTAGATTGTTAATTATAAAAATAAGTATATATACAAATAAAGATTAATTAAATATAATATAATTACTATATATATTATTATATTTTTATAACAGTCTAGACACATCGAAATGAGAAGGATCTAAAGATTGTATAAGTATGAGATTGTATAGTTGATGATGACTTAAAGGAATTAATTTGTACTACCTATACTAACAAGATGCATCTACTTTTCGATAGCTTATTTCATTAAAACTCTACAGTTAAGCGCTTGACTATGTAATTTAGGGATGGATGATCTTCTAGGAAGTTTCCCAGAAAGTGTGCAAGTGAGACAAAGCACGCTGAAAAATATTGTGTTGATTTGTGGGGTCATTCGTTAATCCTAAAAGTAGATGCACATCTCAAAAAGGGCTACCACAGAGGGTCGAGAAGTTGCGAGAAGTTTCATCGTGTGAAGTGTCGTGAAATGGAGCTCTTGAGAGGTCAAATATGAGAGGTGTTACATTAATAAATTTATTAAAATTAAACAAAAAAATTTTGACGAATTTATCCGTCAGAATCACATAAAGATTTTCGAACAAAATCAACAAAATATCTGTTAGTAATTTTCAATAGATATATTCGTCACTAATTACCGATAGATATTTACCACAAAATCATCCGTCGAAAAATTTTGACGGATTAAATTTTTTTCAACAGATTTTTTTTTCAACACCCTTTTTTCGACGGATTTGCATCCGTCAGAAATCTGTTAGAAATTCTCTCTTTTCAATGGATACTCCTTTTTACCGACGGATTATGTCCGTTAGAAATTTACGTTTTTCTTATAGTGGATATTTGGTGTGTTATTGTATATTATAGACTTGTTTTCTATAAGTACATGTTTTTGAACTCTAACTTAGCTTTTCAGTTTCCATGGTCGTTTGAACTATGATGATCATACGTTGTATGAGAGCAAATCAAGACTAAGCTTGAGGAGCTGATTCAGGTAGGTGTTGTGACCTTTTGATGACGATACTACTAATGTGCCTTGTATAAGTGTGTTTGACCGACACTAGGACGTAAGATTATTTTGAAATGACCCCCCCCCCCCACACACACACACACACACAAAGTGT